ACTGTTTAGATTTATCCTAATTACGTCAATCTAGTTCTTATTCTATTCTATTCTATTTTTATTCTACTTTACTCTATTTTAGTTCCTAAATGTTATGGCACCCAATACTAGGTGAGAGACAAACGGTATTTCGATTTTTTATGTTGGTCCTGCACATGTAGTGAATTGACAATGAAAACCTTGAACCTTGAAATATGAAAACAATGGCAAAAATACACCAGAATGTTCTGTTCAATATGCATGCATGGTTATTTTTGAAAGAAAACATATTCATTGTTTTTAGAGGACCTGTACACCGGTGATAAATCAACACAGATGATTTCACACAAATTAGACCTCTCCTCAAGATGAGGACTACATCTGAAATCATTCATTCGCTACTTGCTGATTCACTGACACTGGTTAGTTCACAGTGCAGTGGCCAGTAAATTGATATTTGGGACATTTATGAAAAACATCATTAATTACACCTTTATCATTTGTATTATTGCTCGGAGTCTGGTAACCTCATATAATTTCCAACTTCGACCTGAGCAGAAACCTAAAAGACCATTATGGCAGATGTTTTTGCATAGTCAACATGTCATCATCCCTTGTCAGGCCTTTGCCTCCTACACAGGCTCCTTTTAGAGGATGAATCACCTGTTATTCAGGTGTTAAGAACACTTGCGGCCATGTACTTGTTAGAAACGGCCCCTCTGGTCATTTTCTCTGTCTGTGTCAATTCTGACCTCATTTAAATACTGGCTCCATGTTATGTCAAGGCAAACCGATTAGTTTTATGTAGTAATTCAAGTTTTAAGACCTCCAGGCTTAAGTTCAGTACATGTTGTAATCCTCCAGTTTCGTAATTTCCCTAAATACACTGGGATATGGAGGCCACAGCTTTTTATATTTGTCTCTCAGTTTTGTAAAAGCAACTGTTCTCTTTTCCAGTGACATAATTCTTTCAGTTTCCAAAAAAATCAGAATAAAAGCGGTAAACCAGGAGTTCCTTGTTTTAATGTGTATTTTATAGCACTTTAAATTTTTATCTCACTATGTGTCAAACAGAAACACTGCACTTTCTATTCTGAAAGCTACTCTTGTCCAGATGTTACATACAAAACATTATTATTATCTCATTATCTCTTACTGTTGATACATTTTGCTAATGAAACATATGCATGTTTACTTAACATGCAGGTTGTTTTACTTGTAGTGGAGTATTTTTACACAGTGATATTGACATTTATACACTAGGAATACTTGTTTCACCTCTTCTCATGGAAAATTGATAGTCTTACCATATATGGCCATCTATCACCTGGCAATTCTGCACTATATGCGCACACAACTCAATGAAATGTAAATAACGCATATGCAGGAGATGAAAACACCAGATTAGTGTATGAATATAACAGTTTCACATGTTCTACACCCAGCTGTTCTCACCTGAAACGCTCCTGGCCCGCGGTGTCCCAGATCTGCAGCTTGATCCGCTTGCCCGGCTCGATCTCCACCAGCCGCGAGAAGAAGTCGACGCCGACCGTGGGGTCGGACACCTGGGCGAAGCGGCCCTCCGTGAACCGGCGGATCAGACACGACTTACCCACCGTGGAGTCCCCGATGACGATCAGTCGGAACTGATAGAGCCATATCGCTTCCATGATTTTGCTCTGCCTGTCCGTCGCTCTGTCTGCTGGTTTGTCGGTGTTTCTGCTGCGGCGTCAGCGTTGTGGGAGCGCGTGCACGACTGCGTGCGTACGTGACAAAGAGAGAGAGAGGGAGAGCGAGAGATCAGCAACATTAGAGCATTCTTACAGTTTTTTTTTAAAAAAGAATTATATTTCTATAATATTTAACAACCACAGAAGCTTGGATTTTTATCTAGGCCCTACAAAGGTTTATAATGCAGAGTTCTCAGTGAACTCAGGGTTTACAGTAAAGACTGAGAACACCTTGCCTCCTGTAACGCCCCCATCAGCTTTCTGTTTGGTGTGTAACCACCAGGGAACGTTTTACTGCTACTACTGTACATGCAGGAGCATTATTTCTGTTGCTGCAAAAAAACAACTAATAATTACACATCCGTGGGTGATAGTTTAAAATGAATAAGTAATTGCCAGGGTGCTGGGTGCCGCACCCTGTGCTGCCCATGCTGGTAAACGGGCAGAACCAGTCGGCGTCGGTACACTAACTTACTTCCTGTTGTTTATAAAACATCTGCACATGTCCATTTCACCTGACAGTAGTCCCTGGGGAGATGCACCTCACTAGTTTCCCTTTCCAACCATGCATCATACTGTGGTTTCTAAACTAATCATGCATATGTTAAATCTTTGTAAAAAAAAAAAAAGAAGCTGTCAGTAGAATTGAACCCTTTATAATATCCCCACACATCAAACCAGTTGTTTTAAATCTTGCAGCATATCATACAGTGTTTTTATATTTGATCTCCACATGCATCCGTAGGCTGAGATGCTTTCATAAGTTGTAGAATGTATAGATGTCTGTAAACATCTGCCAGGAATCACTTCATCCGCTTGCCCGGCTCGATCTCCACCAGCCGCGAGAAGAAGTCGACGCCGACCGTGGGGTCGGACACCTGGGCGAAGCGGCCCTCCGTGAACCGGCGGATCAGACACGACTTACCCACCGTGGAGTCCCCGATGACGATCAGTCGGAACTGATAGAGCCATATCGCTTCCATGATTTTGCTCTGCCTGTCCGTCGCTCTGTCTGCTGGTTTGTCGGTGTTTCTGCTGCGGCGTCAGCGTTGTGGGAGCGCGTGCACGACTGCGTGCGTACGTGACAAAGAGAGAGAGAGGGAGAGCGAGAGATCAGCAACATTAGAGCATTCTTACAGTTTTTTTAAAAAAAAGAATTCTATTTCTATAATATTTAACAACCACAGAAGCTTGGATTTTTATCTAGGCCCTACAAAGGTTTATAATGCAGAGTTCTCAGTGAACTCAGGGTTTACAGTAAAGACTGAGAACACCTTGCCTCCTGTAACGCCCCCATCAGCTTTCTGTTTGGTGTGTAACCACCAGGGAACGTTTTACTGCTACTACTGTACATGCAGGAGCATTATTTCTGTTGCTGCAAAAAAACAACTAATAATTACACATCCGTGGGTGATAGTTTAAAATGAATAAGTAATTGCCAGGGTGCTGGGTGCCGCACCCTGTGCTGCCCATGCTGGTAAACGGGCAGAACCAGTCGGCGTCGGTACACTAACTTACTTCCTGTTGTTTATAAAACATCTGCACATGTCCATTTCACCTGACAGTAGTCCCTGGGGAGATGCACCTCACTAGTTTCCCTTTCCAACCATGCATCATACTGTGGTTTCTAAACTAATCATGCATATGTTAAATCTTTGTAAAAAAAAAAAAGAAGCTGTCAGTAGAATTGAACCCTTTATAATATCCCCACACATCAAACCAGTTGTTTTAAATCTTGCAGCATATCATACAGTGTTTTTATATTTGATCTCCACATGCATCCGTAGGCTGAGATGCTTTCATAAGTTGTAGAATGTATAGATGTCTGTAAACATCTGCCAGGAATCACTTCAGTTTTTTTGTATCCTTAGGGAACATGTACTGCAGCTGTTGAAATCAAACGCCAAAAACTGACAAGGCACAAAAACAGAGTACAACAATGTTTCTAGACTAAAGCTCCTTGATTCAGTTACTGATTATAACCTTTAATCCTCTTTTGCTTTCTTAGTCACTTGATGGCATCAGTTGATGTTTTAATAAGTCTGATTTCTGGATTTTTAGCCAAACACCCTTTTTGATATGAGGCTTTAGCATCTACATGCGTGACTTCCCGAATAGCCCTACAGGCTTGTTTTATATGTGGGAGAAAAGGAGAATAATGGCATGTTTCTGCATAACTTCATCCTGTAACACACCTGGATTTTTACTGTTAGTTATGACTGAGCTGCTGGTGAGAAGTAACTAAGCAGCCTCCATATTGTAAGTATTATTATCATCTGAAGTTGCTTTCTACTCCCCCACATTTCAAAAGAACATACTGTACATTTATCAGACAACTGTTACTTTGCGGATTATGAGTTACAAACATATGATCAATATCCCAACATATTTTGATTTGTTATAGACAAGTCAGCTTCTACTTCAAACTGCACATCTATATGTGTGTTACATAATTACAAAATAAATGTAATTGGAATCAATTACTGAGAGAAATATGTAATGAAATTACAGTTACTAATCAAAATATTGGCGATTATAACGGGGTTACATCCATATATAGCCTGTTCTGTAAAAAGCTTGGAATATAACGTTCATTCTGCTGCTCTGCCGCAGGTCCCAATACTCTTCCATCACCGTCAATCAGTGATGAAGTAAATGAGCTTTTAATAAGAGCAAACGGGTCTTAATGATGTGATGCAGGAAATCCTGAAATTAAACAGATATGGCCTATATTCTAAGGATGTGTTTTCTAACTGATCCCTAGCCTGTCCTGACAGGACAGCCAGCCCTGACCAGGCCATCAGGCGGGCAGGGTGCCAAACACATGCAGCATCCCATCACCCCCTGCGCGTCTCTGGTGAGTCGGGTTGCGTAGCTCGGTCGGTATGCAAACATTAGTGGCTGAATCCCCGGTGGATAGCAGCCTTATGGCCATTAGGGCAAATTGGAGGTCCACCACGACTCGCAGCATATCGTATATCCAACATTTACAGACAGTCCAGTCTCTAAAACCCGCCACATCTCACAGATATATTCATACCAGGTTGTTATTGACCCGACTTTGATTTCTTGTAGTTGTCAGCCATCGTTATCCTTGTGGGGATGTGAGCATTGTGGCCCTTTAGTGTGTTTACACTGACACGATTATGGGCTGTTTCAGTATCCTGTGGTTTTATTAGGCAACGATGTTTAAGCACATTCCTAACGTGACTTTTCCTGTGACATTTATTATGTAAGTGTTAAGGTTATACACATAAAAATAAGGCGTACCAAGTGTGAAATGTTAATTCTTTTAGAGTTTAAGCTTAATTTCATGTCTTACATAGTGTGTCATTTGGATGGACTTTAGCTTCACATACGATTAAACGTCTTGTTTTTATTGTAGGCTATTATCAGACCGGTGCACTTCACGACAGAACACGAGGTCCGTATGTGCTTTCTTCAGCAACGTTCAACCACTTTAGGCTAAATCACGCGATAAATAACATAAATACACACTGTAAATGCCAAGAAAAACCTACTTGGAACGGGAGTGGAGTTGACTTTAGGGCAGAAGGGTTGCTCTCTTATGCTGTACAGGACCAGGCTGATGTGGGCTCCATGGCACCAATAAGTCTGGTTGGATCGATCCTCAGGAAACAGCGACGGAGCCTCCCGGACTCGATGTTTGTCTTTAAGGCCAATAACAGAGGCTGGTGGCCCTGGAGTCAGGGCTGATTTCCTTGTTAAAACCAGGCCCAATCGAGAACTGAAGCAAAAGCGCATCCAGAGCAGGTGCAATAAAAACCGGATCTTGCACTTTCGGAGCCACGAATAAACCACAAGCGAGTCTCTGTTCTCGGTTTCGACAGCGAGAAGCGCCGATGATTATGAAGAGAGGATGCTTGCTGTCAGAGGGGAATCCCGCCGTATCATCTGTGTGTTTGCTGCGTGTTTGGAGGTTTTCGCTGCTGATGAAATGGCAGCAGTGGCAGCAGCAGCATCAAATAGCCTGACTCATCCCGCATCAGTACCACTACCGTAAAGGACCGCGGAGAGGCGCAACGCTGAAAGAAAACAGCTCGCTGGCTTAAATCTTAAGCAGATTTCAGGAGGGTGCAAAAACACATAAAAGATTAGTCAAAGGGAATAAATGGGATATTGTGGATGATATGATATCCTTATTATTATCAAACAATATTGAAGATTCTGTCAATATAAAATGGAGTAAGAATTAGAACGATAGACTAATATTTAGGACCACATTTCTGCAAGTGACAAGAACCTGAATATTGAATTTCAATATAGCCTTGAAACCAACTGGAAATATAAAAACATAAATCTGAACAGTAAAATCAATAGAGAGTGGACTACTAAAGAAGAAGAAGAAGTGGAGGAATATAATAGTGATAAACTATGTGACAGGACTATAGCGTTTGTTTTCCTATGTGATGTTTATTTCAGGAGTAGATACTCCTGTTAGTGCAACATCAGGGAAGCTGCACACTCATTGCGCTGTCCATATGCGCACGCATCAGTGCGCAAGCACGGAAGTTACACGTTGCGAGGTGGGAGTTGTAGTTTTTTCAGCACATGCACGTTTGTCTGTGTTGTGTTGTCCACGTTTGTGAGATCCATTCCTCATTTATCTTGTGTCAAGGTATTGTAGGCGAAATGGTTCAAATGTTTGACCTTTTTCCAAACAGTTAAACTTGTTAAAAGAAAGTTTTCCATGTACCAGAAATAAGTTCTTGGAACTATCTTTAGATTTCCAGGCTTCCAGTCATTGAGAATAATTGTTATCTTTGTTCCATATGAGGAGACTTCAGTTCACCGCATTAAACTAAAGTCCCTAAAGCCGATGCTGAAGTTGTTAAAGTTGTTTTATTAAAACACAAATCGCAGGCAAAGAGCACCATGACAGACATCAAGACTTCACCACTGCAAGGTGTTTCTGTTATTGTGTCCACCCTCTGTGCATCACACGACTATTTTACCTTGATACTCTCATAATACAACACATTAAAATTTTACACACACCCACACACACGTTACGGGGGCGTGGTCGTTCAGCTTCAGTTCAAGCTGCTAATAGGCTTTTCTGTTTATTCTGTGAGGCCACGACAGCGGACAAAACAGCAGGAGGAGATGTGCACACAGAACAGCAGGCTAAACAGACAGCAGCACTTCTTTATTTAGTGTTTAAAAGTCGCCAACTTCCTGTTTTAAAACTGTTTTAATCTTGGCAAGGAAACGTTTTGCACGGAGCCTGCGCAGACACGCAATAGGGGAACGATTGTTAACTGCCAAAATATTACAAGTAGGCCATGCCAATCTTCAGATCCACTCTCACTGGCCAAACCCTCCACGTTTTGCCAAACCTTTAACTGAAGACCTCTCAGTGCCATTTACTCAGTACGCGCTCTCAGCTGGAGCAGGATGCAGCACGAGCGCCTGCTCAAAGTTTTGGTCATCGGCGATTTGGGAGTCGGGAAAACGTCCATCATAAAGCGCTACGTCCACCAGGTGTTCTCACACCATTACCGGGCCACCATTGGCGTGGACTTCGCCCTCAAAGTGCTCAACTGGGATCACAAGACCGTGGTGCGGCTGCAGCTGTGGGACATCGCCGGTGCGTAAAAGCCTGTCTGTGTGGTGGCAAATGAAATGAGCTGCTATAGCTGCTGGTTGTGGTTTTGTTAGCTAGAGAACCATCAGTATGTGGAGTGGCTTATTATTCATACTTTATTTGCATAGTCAAATAAGTTTGCTCACGTGGCAGTAATTTGTCACTTTGAAGGTCACAGGTACAACAGTAATGTGGTCTATAAGTGTGGATTATGTTACTCTTCAGATTTTCTTTTTTACACCATTTTTTAAATAATTTAAGCAAAACAGCCATGATTTGTAAAATGTGTTAAAAGATTTTTGTGCAAAACATTCATGAATTCGTTCTTGTAATATGGCCTTTTTTCTAGTTGCATGTGATCTACATGTCAAAACACCCACGAGTTACTTAAATATGACTCCAAACATAACATGGAGTTGTCATCTCTGTGAGGTCAGAATCATGTACTGTAGGTTAGGACATAGTCATGTTGTTTACGGTGCAAGATGTGTAAAATCTTAGTTGATGCACCTTTAAAATGTAATGCAATGAATTTCATACCATGGCGAAGTGGCTCTTGATTGAACATCTACTTTTTGTAGTTATTGGAGTGTCAGCATTGGACTATTCAAGCACAGTGCAACCAGGAAGCAACAGTAATCTGCATTATATCACTTACTGGCGGCGTTTTGCTGACACATCCAGCCATGATGATGCATGACACACGAAGTAACCACCTAGAAAATGTGGTTAACCGCTATTTCTGTAAATGTTGGTTTTACCGTCTAGTGCATCCCATTACCTTCCAGATTAGATGTTAAAAACACAGCATGTCTTAGTTTTCATCTTATAAAAACCACTACTCTCCTTAACGACATGTCTCTCTGTCACACATACATTGACAGTTTGTTTTTTTTATTGTCAAATCTTGCTGAGTGTGTTGAGCAACATGATACAGCAGCAGATAAGAGCTGTCAGTCACACGAAGATGTGCAGCTGAGGCTGGTAGCCAGACGGACTTTAGACCAGTAACCGGCGATGATGTCCCACTGGAGACACTATGTAAAGTCTGAAATACAGATCAATGGGTCCTTCTCACAAACAGGAGTTAGCAGATTATCCTTGTCAGTGTGTGCATTACTGTTTGGGAGAAGAGTTGTTCATTAGGTGACCATTCATAATACAAGGTCACAGGGATGTTTTTTGTATCAGCTGTTGTCCTGCTGTGTAGCTCGTGCGCTGTGTTTGTGTGTATCAGATACTCACTTGCTGATTCACTGCTATATTAGGATCATGTGGAGGAAGTTAACTTGGATAGAGACTTATTCCTATGCCCAGTTAGACACAGATGCATACATGGTCATACACATATATTCATGCAAGAAAAGGTGTTTGTCTGCATGCATATATTGATTCACAGTTAATAACAGTAACTATATGTAATCATATACAATTTCTACTGTTTTCGGTCATTTTAAAGACAAATTATAATTTGATTAATGGAGAATATAATAGGGAGATGAATCAATAATAATAATAATTTGCTAAGTTCTTTAGATCCCAACTAAAGAGTTCGTCTACAATCATGTTTATTTCAGTTAAAACAAATCAACTTACTTTGAAGCCAAGCCAGGTTTAAAAGAAAAACTCTACACATGATAAGAATAATTTTCTCTACTGTAGGTTGGTCTGTAATCAGGTTTAGTTTCACACATAAGAATAATTTCAGATATCTGATCAGGATTTATTAAAACCATCCCAGAAACTCCTCAATGGTCCAATTTACTTGCCTCCTTGTTTTTATGTTGCTGGTAATTCAACTTTCTCTTGATCAAGTGTAAGTAAGAGTAGCAAAAATATACAAAAATGATAGACCTTTGAAACAGAATTTACTCTCTTTTCTTCTGTTTCTCTCAAAAGGACAAGAACGCTATGGCAACATGACCCGTGTGTACTACAGAGAGGCTGTGGGGGCTCTTGTGGTCTTCGACATGACCAGACTTTCCACGTTCCAGGCCATCCTCAAGTGGAAAGGAGACCTGGACTCAAAGGTAAATCTGTTGGAGAGCGAGTTGTAAAAATGAAATGGGAAGACCAAGAAATGATCACTCTCTCTGAACCAGCTTTTTTAAAAGCTGTCACCTCATTAAATGGGCGTTATCAGAGCAAGTGGGTGATTTTTTTTTTTCCTTGCATTTCCTCATATAATCTTCTTTCTGGCTCTATTAGGTTGCTTTGAACAATGGAAGGCCGGTTCCAGCTGTTCTATTGGCCAATAAGTGTGACCAGCGGTGTCATGGTTTGTGCCCCAAGCTCCCCAAACTGGAGAAGTTCTCCAGAGACTGTGGATTCGTCGGCTGGTACGAAACGTCTGCCAAAGTAAGACATGGTTTTGTTTTGTATGGAAAGCAAATATTGTTGACACCCAGCGCTCTCATTTCCTCTGTAAACAAATGTCACTGCGTATTTTCTCAGTTCATTGTTTATTAGGCTTTTGTTTCACGCACTTCTCTGCTTTAGTTCTATTTTATACTTACCCCAGCCTCTCTTCCTGTGCACCTTGTCACACTTCTCTGCCTCTGTCAGTCCCTTTGTATTTAAAGTTTAATGTAAAAAATAAACAATGTCTCAGCAGCTAAAATTACATTACTGTCTGGTACAGGATAGTCACTTGCAGAAAGTAGTTTTACACACAGGAAGTAGCACATTTACACTTGAGAACTGAAAGCAAAACTTAAAGCAAGTTGGACTCGGTAAAGAATCTTTCTTTCTACTGAGAAGAACAAATTTAGTTCATTTAAGTGTCCTGACACTTTTGCAAAATTGCTAAAATTATCAACAACCACTTTGTAACTGAGAGCCTAAACAAAGTTAAAAAGATGTGGGGGCAACTGGATTTTGTGGAGTAGTGACCAGAAGTGGCGAGACGGCATCGGACCGCCAATCAAAGCTGTCAAATCAGCTGAAATGCTCTTCTTCTTGTATCGTCAAATAACTTATTAAAAACAAACTTTCTGGTGGCCGCTTGTACACACATCAGCGTGATAATATCTACCAAAAACCACAGAGGTGACCTCTGGGAAGAATTTATTTGATTTGTACTTTGAGTCTTTAGTGTAGCTCATGTCCCATTCATTAACATGGAGGAGGCAGGATCTATGAGCTATACTGTAACCAGCCACCAGGGGGCGATGGAATCATGGTGGCTTCACTTGTGGAAACTTTTAGCTAGTCCATCGTTTTTACAGTTCACGGTCTATTCTTATAAAATATGTAGTTACATTAACTGGGTGGAGAAGTAGTTTAAATACATGTTTGATACTGTAAAGAAAATTAATTTGAAATCAGTGGAAAAGTTGTTAGTAGTTGTCAAAAAAGAACATTGGATCAATTTAGACAATTATTTAAAGCTTCACCAATAATTTTATATTATCCATCCATCCATCCATCCATTTTCCTCCGCTTATCCGGGACCGGGTCACGGGG